TAATTTTGTAATGGATTTGATATATGGTTTCCAAGATAGATCAGAAGTAAGAGTTAATCCTAGAAGATGAAGGGTAGATGACTCATTGAGTACATTATCATTCATAAATATAGGAAGGCCTAAAATATTGCGATAACGATTGGCTGAAAAAAATTGAGTTTTATCTGAATTAAAGTTGTAACAGTAGTTGTAATATTAAAATTATTGTTATTAAATGAACAAACAAAAATTAAAGATTAAAACGTTAAATTGAATAAAAAGATAAAAGGAATTTAAGATTTTTACTTGACTAAATCGAATTTTAGTTGATTAGTAGGAAGTCCAGAATTGATTAAATCGACTATTTAATTTTTCGACTAATTTTAGTTTTAGTCAAAGTTGATAACAACACTAAAAAACAAAGACTTACAATTTGTCATCAGAGTAAGTCAGAAAAAGATTTTTTTTAAATTGATACCAGACACATTCTGTTATGTAGACACAATCTGATACCTAGACACAATCTGATACCTAGACACAATCTGATACCTAGACACAATCTGTCACCTAGACACAATCTGTTACCTAGACACAATCTGTACTAAAAGATAGTCATAAAAGGTTTTTAAATATTAGCAGAAAAATTTAATTATTCAAATTAATTATTTGATAGAAAAATTTGTTAATTATTCAGATTAATTATTCAGTTAATTATTAATAGAAAGAATAAAGATGGAAAAATGTTGTTTTATTAAATTTATTAAATACAAAAATATATATATATATATATTATTTACAACTTCAGTATTCTAAATTTTCGGTATTGGAAAAATTAGTTTATGAATATTTAATTTGATCATTCACACTGGGAACATTATGAGAACTAATCAATAATAAGTATTTTTGAGCACTCCCTTTGTTGTATTTGTAAAAAAAATTAACAGTGTCGTCTTACTAATTTTATAAAATTAAAAAATAATGAGTTTTTAAAAGCAATGTTTAAAAAAAACTATAAACTTTTTTTTAAAACAAATAAATCCAATAGAAGCTGTTTGTAACCATCCAAAAGAAGCTGTTTGTAACTGTCCAATACAAGCTGTTTGTAACTATCCAATAGAAACTGTTTGTAACCATCCAATAGAAGCTGTTTGTAACCATCACACAAAAGTTTGGAATATGAGAATAAACATCATAGGTTTGTTTTAAACAATTGAAAAAACATGTACAAAAAAAGAAAAATTTTACGGTTCAAACTTATACCATGTGTATTAATTAATTTTTAAAGAATGCTTAATATGTAAACATAAAGAAATAAAAATAAAGAAATAATTAGTTAACTGCATTTATTACATCCATAGTTTAGTCATGCACTTTAAAGTCCCTGTTCTTCTTTTTAATAAAAAATACAAAAACCACTAACAATAAAAAAATACAGTGAAAAAAAATACAAAAACCACTAACAATTTGATAGCTATTCTCTAATTGCTTGCAAGCAACTGATAGACATTCTCTAATTGCTTGCAAGTAAATTGCAGTTGTTTGTTCAAGTGTTTGCAAAGTACAAAGATGCTGTTGCAGATGTTTTGGTAACAGTTTTTAATTTTAAATACAAGTATGATAGTTGTAATCCTTAATCTGACTCACTGCTTTTATAAAATATAATTTAGTAAAGTAAATAATGTTTGAAAGATGTTTACACCACATCATGGATAAAAATACTATTATACAATCAACTGACTAATAAAAATACTAGAACAAAATAACAGTGAAGATAAAAGATAAAAATTACTTTAAAAATAGTCAACTAATAAAGATAAAAACACTTAAATAATAAAGATAGAGACAACTAATAAAAATAAACAAATTACAACCAACCAATTAAAAATAAACAAATTATAACCAACCAATTAAAAATAAATCACAGCCAACCAATTAAAAATAAACAAATTATAAGCCAACCAATAAATATAAACTAATTACAGTCAACTAACAAAGATAAAAAAATTGCCAAATGAAAAACAGTCTTAAGTAATAATTGTCACCAAAAAAAATATTTAAAATAAAAAAAGTAATCACAGGAATAACAATTCTACAAATAAAGTTCTACAAATAAATAAGTTGCAAACAATTACATAAAAAAAAATTAAAAAAATTTAAGAAACCTGTGTTCATCAGAAACTTAGTTGCTGGTTCTAAATCATCATCTTGAAAGATATCATCATTATCACATTTTAATGACTTCGCAAGAGAAATGAATTCTTCTCGACTAATTATTGGAACCTCACTATTATTTTCTTTCTGTTTTTTAATTTCATTGATCTTTTCTTCCAACTTTATATAAACTTGTGGAAACAATTTACCCATTATTTTCTCCCCATTTTGTTTCCCATCATATGTCATAGTTTCTGCCAAAAGATAGATTTCTGTTTTGAGTTTATCAATGTCTGAACAAAAAAAAAAAAAAAAAAAAAAAAATTTAAAGAACTAAACATCAAATAATAATCCAACGAATAAAATTTTTTTTTTTGTAGCAATAACAATAATGTTATATTAAGTAAATAAAGATATACTATAATTATATAAAAAATAAAGGTATATTATAATTATATAAAAAATAAAGGTATATTATAATTATATAAAAAATAAAGGTATATTATAATTATAATTTTTTCTATATAAATATAAATTTTAAATTTCAATGAATTTATAAAAATTTAATACTTTGAATGAATGTTCTGATTTATATTCAATGGTCTTTAGCTTTCTCTACTTATATAATAAGGAATATTATTTAGAATTGTTATATGTATATATATATACATATATATATATATATATATATATATATATATATATATATATATATATATATATATATATATATATATATATATATATATATATATATATATATATATATATATATATATATATATATGTATATATCTATATATATATATATATATCTATATATATATATATATATATTGTTGTGCTTAAGCACAACTGTTTTTAATAAGATTTTGCTATGATACTATCTTGCTTATAATCCTGTTCATATTATAATGTTGCAGATTCTGTTCATATTATAGTGTTGCAGATTCTGTTCATATTATAATGTTGCAGATTCTGTTCATGTTGCAGATTATGTTATTCATATTGATGTTAATATCTTCTTATTTCTTTTATTTCTATTATAGTTTTTAAAAACAAAATGATTTGAAGTTAAACAACTTAAAATAAACTTACCGATTGAAACTTTACAACAAATCAAAGATGCTAACTGTTTTAAATATTCTTTAACTTAAAAATTAGGATGCAATTATGGTTATACTGTTTGCTTAGTTTTTTTGAAGACATTTTCTTAAGACATTAAATTCTTTTTTTTTAAACACAAAAAAAATTTTTTATTGCTTTTTTAGATAAATATAACTTTATTTAATGAATATTTGAGTAAATAAGCATTTAATAGTTTGTTTTTCAACTAGTTTGTTTTTCAGTTGATAAATATTTAATGAAAGGTGTGGTAGTGGGAAAATGTAACACAAATAATGTTATTTTTTCTAATGTTCTTAATTTATATTTTTTAAATTTTATTGTTTACTCTTAATTTTACTCTTAATTTTAACTCCATAAGTAAACATTTTAAAGAATATTCTCAAATTTTAATGCTTTCTTAAAAAACATGATATAAACAAAATGGTAAAACTACTGCAGGTGTAACATCTACACTTTTAGATAAGCATAACATGATGTGTTATGCTTATCTAAAAGTGTGATAACTCCAAATTGCTTGATGTTTTTTTCTTTTTAAACATGCTATATACACTGCACAACAAAATGATAAGGCACCCAAAAAATATTTATCAAACTTTACTATACATTTATATTTATAAACTAATTTTTGGTGTAAATAAAAAAAAAGGGTTTACAACACTATACAAAGTTTAAAAAAACTTATAAAGATAATTCACATTTTTATTTTTTAAAAACTGTTTTTTTCAGTGTGACAAAATGACACCTACAAACACTACATTTGACAGCGGTCTCCAAGCTTTCTCAATAAAATTCAGGTCTAAAGATCTAGCTGGCCATTTTAATGTTTAAATTTCATTGTTGTTGAAATAATCCTTTACTATCTAAGCTGTATGAACGCTACCATTGTCTTGCTGAAAAACAAAGTTTTTTTTTTTTCTGAGGTCGGCAATAGTTTGCAGACCTCAATCTTTTAGAGGTCGGCATCAGGTCGGCAAATACAAAGGTCTTACCATAAAACATTGAAACGAGGTCGACAAAACCAAATTTTTTTTGCCGACCGCAAACACGTTTAGGTCGGCAGTAAGGTCGGCATTGCCGAATGCCGACCCTAATTCCGAGGGTTGCAGATTAGCAATTTGATGTGCTGTTAATGAAAAACTTGAAGCTTGTCTCAACAACTTTTGCTTATCACAGTTAATTAATGTTGATGGATGTCTAGGACTTTCCATGTTTATGAGGACTATTAAAGTAGTCCTGAAATTTAGAGACACAGCCAGTTTAGCTGTCTATAAATTTAATGGCTCTAAATATATTGGCTCTATTTAATGGTCTCTAAATTTAATGGCTCTAGTGGAACTCATTTTAAGTTAAAACTTTTTTCTCATCTGGACTCAATGGTGCAGCACAATTCATTATTAACTAATTTTTAATTTTAATAAATAAAGTAAAAATTTAAAATTTAAAATCAAAAATTAAAATTAAAAAACTTAAAAAAATTCATTTTTTAATTTTACTTATTAAAAAAATCTAAACTAAATTTTTGACAACAACAGTTTACAGTTAATCTGTGGTGTTTACATCAAATAAATGTTCTTCATTGCTCACAACTACAGTTTGCAAATAAAATGTTTTTTGTAATTTGTCATTAGTTCTGTATGGTCCAAACATTATCTTATAATGTTAAAATTATTTTATAAGTTCTTGTGCACTTGCATTTTTCAAAATTTTTGAGAATGTCTTGTCATTTTGTCCCACAGTGTAGATAGGTATTTTAACTTTAACCAATAAACAGCATATAATAAACAAAAAAAAATTTCAAAAACTAATATGATATGAAAACAAATTCTGCATTTTCACCAAAATCAACAAAAAAACAGTAATGAATAAAAACAACTTACCTTTAGAATAACTTTGACACTTTGTGTCTAAAGAAACAAAACAAATTTTTAGTCTTAAAGAAAAATATTTATCGCTATTCATTAGACTTCTAACAGCAGGAATAGTTTCAATAAGTGTTTGAATCTCGCTTTTCATTTGATCACAAGCACTATCTATGTCAACATTCTTGAGGAGGTCTAATTTTGTACCAACAACAATAATATAAAAAAATTGTACTCGAGCTACTAAATTCTCAAACCATGGTTGAAGTAATTGGACATATTCCTTTTTTTTAGTTACATCCCAAACCAATAAATATAAAGATGAGGAAGATAGAAAGCACTGGTGGGTTGCAAAGTATTCTTCTTGCCCTGCAAAATCCCAAACTCGAAAATTAAAGTCTTTTCTTGATAAAGATATTGTAATCTCTTCAATATCAATACCTAAAAAGTATTTAAACATATTCAAAAAAATTTAAACAGTATAGTAAATATATTCAAAAAAATTAGACAAAAGCTTTACCATAAAATATAGAAACAAGGTTGGATATTTTTTGCCGACCTTAAACATTTTAGGTCAGCAGTTAGGTCAGAATCGCCATAGGGCTGTATATATGTATATATGTATATATGTATATATATATATATATATATATATATATATATATATATATATATATATATATATATGTATATATATATATATATATATATATATATATATATATATATATGCATATATATATAGCGTGCAAAATGAACCTTGGCACTTTGCATATACTGAGGCTTTTGCTGAGGCCTTTGTAGTACTTTAATAAATTACTTGGCAAAAAAGTGCTAAGGCAAAAATAATTACCACAATTTTTGTCAATAACTTTAACTTATTTTTCAAAAATAAAAGCGTTTTCTATTACAGTATATACATATATATACTATAAAATATATACTATACAGCATATACATATATATACTATACAGCACATAAATGATTGAAAATATTAAATATAACAACTATAAGACCCACTATAAAAATTTTTAGGTCTCCAAGCCAAAGGTTTCCAGTACAATGCACAATGCTATTTCATATGCATGGTTGCGTGATTATTTTGTATATTTTATAGAATTTACTAATATTTATATAATAAAATTCATTAAAAAAGTATTCAAATATAAATTAAGAAGTCATGTTTAGGACATAAAATGAGATTATTATACAAAAATTGAAATATTTGGCTATAAATTGTCATTGTCATTGTTATATTTGGTCTTTAATGGATTATCAACCAAGAATATTTTATACATCCCCCAACAGAAGTTCAGCTTCACAGAAAACAAGGACACTCTACTTGCTTCAGCATTCACTACATATGTTTGCACCAAACAAGTATTATCTTAAGATTTAAATCGAATAATTATTTGGTAAAGCTTTTTCTGTCTAAAAAACATAAAATTGATAGCGGTTGTGTTTTGAAATAATTATGTAAACCTTTTCTTTTCTTTTGAAAAGTAAAAGTTTGCGGTCAGGGAATTCCAGATTAGAATTCCCTGACCGCAATTACTTATAATTAGATATATAAAATGTCTCATGTAATTTAAAAACCATTGAGACACCCCATGACAATAACCAATTGTGTGGTCGTGACCACTCTAAACTTACTAAAGCCCAAAAATGAAATTATTGGCCCCAAAAACCTTATAAACTTGTACCATATGTCTATATTTAACCCATAAACAGTTTTTCCATTTTTAGACAACTCTGCCCTACTGTGCACTGAGAGAAGTTTGTTGTTGAATTCAAGTAAGGTTCAGGTCAAGTAAGAACAATCAAAATGCAAAACTATCCTGTGCGCAAAAGCTGAGGTCAAGATCTATGCTTTGTGTTAAAGAGGAGTGTAAGAAAAGAACCAGGGGTAATCCACTGGATTATGCATTCTGAGAGAACACACAAATAGTGAAGGAGCTCGAGAAATATTACGAACGCTACAAAAAACTGTGTAGTATTAGAACCCTTATAAAAATAAACAAGATCAAAGAAGTCCAATTTTAAACAAAAATAGAGAGTTTTATCAAGGAAGCAAACTGTATTTTTCCAAAATATAAAATAGACACCTTAAAACTTACGAGATGATGAAAATAGAGACAGGCAGGCAAAGACAGAAGATATTGAGTTCATAGGTGGGGAAAAATGAATCTTAGATGTAATAGAATGTACATAAAGAGAATAACATGAAAAAAAACAAGAAATGTCAAAGAAAAAAGCTATGGAGGACATAGAAAGGATAAAAGATTTTGAGAACTACCTTTAAGTGGTAAAAGTGCCACTGAGATTGATAGTGGATTTGAGCCATGGATTTAAGCTATGCCAAAAAAAAAGATAAATAAAGCTTTCAATGAATGATGTTCTTGACAAGTAGGTTTCTTTCTTGACTAGGTCCAAGGTCAGTGTTTGAGCTGAAACTTCTAGCTTCACTTTTAAAGATTGGTGGTGGTGATCTAAATACAGTTCCTGTATTTGTCTACATAGAAACAAAAAGATTGTGATTGAAAATGAAGCTGAATAATAAGCAAAGAAAAAAGGACAAAGTTTACGGTTTAAAGGTTGTCATTCATTTGAATACAAAACTGTTCAAACACTATAGAACTAACCAAAAAATGTCTGAAACTGTAGAAAAGTTTGTTCTAAGTTTTTCATTACACCAGGTCAATGAAGCTTTAGATAACATTTAAATAACAATAAAATACAAATAAACATTTAAAATTTAATAAAATACAATAACATTAAAAGCAGTGGTTCTTAACCATTTTGTAGTCACAGATATCAATGATTTTTTTCCTAACTCACATTAGGAAAAAAAACAACATAACAAAAAACTTTATTTATTAGTATCAACTAAAATTTATCACATATCAGTCGAGATGGTTGCTGCTGTTTCTTTTCAATAAGTACACTAAATTGAGGAATTGTCTTAGACAATGCAAGACGCGTATCGTCTTTGACATCTATTCAGTTACAATTTTTAGTTTTTATTGACACTAATGCTGAGAAACCTGACTCACAATGGCACGTAATAGCAAACCGAATTAATAAGGACATTGCTTGTTTAACAAGAAGAGGGTAAGCTTGTTCTAAACTGCATCAAAAATCACAAACATCCTTTTCATAAAAGTCAGCTTGCAATACTGCTTTGGATCTCATGTCTATTAAATCATCTTTAATAAAATTTTCATCATTGATATCATTGATATCAATCATAAATGGACTACGCACCCGCTATGCAGTCTCCTGATCAAGGTTTTCAGGGCAAAAGTACCCTTAAAACAAGTTCTGTAGTGTTTTAAGATGTTCTGAGACTTCCTTTTGCATTTCTTCATTTAAAATTCTTAACGATTGCATTTCACTTTACAATAGCAGTTCTTCTAACATAAAAAATTTGCAGTAACACCTACATCCACTCTTATTTTCCAAAGTGGCAGCTTACCAAAAAAAGCTTTTAGTTTTTTAGTTGCATCCAAGATTGTGACAGCAGGACCCTGAAGAGACCCTGAAGGTTTATTTCATTCAAATAACTAAAAATATTGGTATTTAGAGTATTATGAGCTCACTGACTAGATCATCAAGTGCAGCTGTAGTGCAGATATAACAGACTCTAATACTGAAAAAAAACTAAAAAACAATAGAGCTGTGCTATGGCTACACTGTAGGTAGGGTAGATTTGTGTAATATAAGCACCTTGGTAATATGAGCATACCAAAAGTAATATGAAGCAGTAAAGTTGAAGCTGTTTTTTGAATCGACTTTATGTGGTGATAATATGAATCAGTATAACTAGCACAAATGATGTAAACAGCGGTTCTCATTTTATAAAAAAATTTTTTACGTTGTAAAATTACTTTATTATGTAAACTATTATCATTACACATAAAAAAAATATGTGAAATTTTGATCTTCAAATATGTCAAGTTAAATTTTTCAAAAAGAAAAAAATGTTAGCCAGAAATTTGTTCTATTTTTGTTTGAAAAATAATGCATAGAAACATTTAGTTTTGACTTTATTTAAAGATACCAATTTTATGTAATACAAGCTCAATTTACCCAGTATTTTTCATTAAAATTACCTACTCTATAGTTCTAAAATTGCAGTGGTTTTATTTGCTTTTTGAATAAAAGCAAAACATTGTAAAAATTATTAATATTTTAACCATACTAAATACTTTTCTGTAATTTAACTTAAAAAAATTCGTATTTTTATTGTTTAAAGGTTTGAGTTAATAAAATTGAAAAAATTACAAATTTTTTCAGTAGTAGTATTGTTTCAATAAAAAATAGTTTAAAATTTGACCTTTTAATGATAAGTTTTATTAATAACAAATTACTATATTCTAGAAATTTGTTTTAACATGTTTTTACTTAATGCAATTTTATGATAATTGAAAATTTAAAGTAATAATTTAAAGTGCTCATATTACCAAGTGGTATAAGTAATATTTAAAACCTCTGTGTTTTTTTTAGGGTTGTTAACCGGAGGATTTTGTGCAATTCCAGAAAAACAACATTCTTTCGTAAGGAGACTGAGAACACGGAATTACATTTTTTCGTACCGAATGTTACAAAACATTTAAAATCGCCGATGTTCATTTCGCAAAAGCCACTTCCGAAATTTAGCATTTTGCAAGTTGACATACGAAACAAAACTATTTTGCAACATACGAAAGTAGCAGTTTCGGAAGTCGCACTTGCGAAACAAACATTTTCGCCAAATGACGTTTTGAAGTCTATAAAGAAAATTTGTTTGCCAGACTGATTTTAGTTGTAAAAATTAACATCTTTAAATCCCAAAATGTTTATAATGAATTTTTATTTTCAGTATAATAACTATTATATTTTTATGGTTTTATTTTTAGAAATATTGATAAAAAATAAAATTTCTTTCGAAACGAAAGTATTTCGGATCACAACATACGAAAGAATTCTTAACGGAAATAAACTTACGAAACGTGCCATAATAAATATATGCAAAGATGTTTTTTGAACTCATTACGCATATTAAAAATAAGAATGATGGGTAGGAATATACATGTTTTTTTTTTAAAGCATATGAAATTTTTGAAACAGGTTCGAATATGCTTAAGCAAATAGTAAAAAGAGGTTCAAAAATATGCTTTAGCTTAAGCATATTTCTGATAAAATATACCTATTTCAATAATTTCTAAAAGTGTGCACGTTACTAAAGTTCTAGCAGATTTTAAAGGTATGTAGAGTCCTGTTTGAATACGCTTTTCGAAGTATAGATCTTAGAAAATATTGTTTTTTAATTTTAATAAGATATAAATTTAAGTATAAGAAGTATAAAGTTCAATCAGTTAGATACGTGACAATTCGCCGCAGAGATCTGGGTTCGCATCCCGCAGTCATTGTAACTTTTGTTCATCAAACTCTTTTTACT